TAAAGAGAAGCATTTATTGGAATCAGTTGTTTCAACAGCTGATTAATTAATATTAATAAATATTAATTCCCATTCAGAGTTAATTATATCAGAGCTAAGTTTAAATAAACCTTTAATGTACTGACTCTAATGAGTAAATTTTGCCAAAAGTGCTATGACTCTCATTTCCCGAGCTTTCTATTCTATTCCATTGACCTGTGTGTCTCTTTCTATGCCAGGACCATACAATTTTATTTTTCCAAAAAAATAAACTACAGAGATTTTTTTATTTAAAAAATGCAATAGCATAATATCATGTACCGACAGGAGTTTCATTAACAAAACAATTAATAGTAGAGCATAGCTGTTGCAAAAATTAAAGACAGATTTTCATGGCAGGAAGTTAGTGCCAAGTCAGTGACTCCTGAATTCGTCCAAGTATGAACGGCAGCTCAGGGATGGTATGTTTTCTTTCACTAAAGACACGTTTCTTGGGCAGTTTAACGTCTCCCCCCCCCTTAGAATTTAATGCTGTCAAAGCTATGATTAATATTTTACTCAGAATTGTTAAGAGAAAATCTTCACAAAATTAACAATAGAGATCTTCAAGTAATTAGGACCACTCAGAGACACCTGAAAAGAATCCCATGTATGGATTCGTTGTTTTTTTCTTTTATTTGTTGAATTAAATTCAGTGAAAGTTTTAAGGGGGGAAAAAGTCAGTTATCTATTCATTCCCTCAAGTTTTAATTAAACAATTTTAGCGATTACGTAGAAAAACACATTTTACATGTTGCTGTAAAGCACTTTTCTGGAACTGGTCACAGATTTAATACATCGGAAGAACATGATAGGCCACCTATCTTCCTGTAACGTGATGGTAAATCTGCCTCTCAATGTCCGAAACCAGAGTACTGGCACCTATTGGGAACAGTTCTGGCGTCATCCATTCATCTCCCAGCTCTTCCTTCACACTAGAGAGACAAGCAAGGGAATACTTTGCACTGCGGATGCCTCCTGTTGGTGTAAAGCCTGCCTTGTTTCCAGTTTTCCAGAAGAAATCTCTAATGGCCCATAGCATCACTATAGCTACTGGGAAAGTGGCATTTACCGTTTCTTTTACAGTAGAGGTCTTAATAAAGTCTGATCATTCCATCATTGCGATCATACTGGCTTTATAGAAATGAGTAAGAGATCCAAGTTCTCCTGTTGCTAAGATGGTTTTGAGATGAGCCCCCCACAGGCCTAGCGAAACAGACGAATCTCATCACACAGGGCTTCCTGCTGGCCGGTCAGCACCAAGGTCCTATTAATCACCACATCAATTTCCATAACTCCATTTTCCACAGCCAATCTTATCTCTTCCAATCGTGTTTTTAAATGAGTCTGTCCAGGGCGCCTGGGTGGCTGAGTTGGTTGGGCGACTGCCTTCAGCTCAGGTCATGACCCTGGAGTCCCGGGATCGAGTCCCACATCGGGCTCCCTGCTCAGCAGGGAGTCTGCATCTCCCTTTGACCCTCTTCCCTCTCGTGCTATCTCTCATTCTTTCTCTCAAATAAATAAATAAATAAATAAATAAATAAATAAAAATAAATAAATAAATGAGTCTGTCCAGCTGGAAAGCCAGTTGGCATGGGTACAGCACGGGGCCTTCAGTGCTTTAACCGCATCACACACCCCCGTGGGGTAGACATAAACAGCAGTGGTCATAAGGCCTTTATCACACGTATTGAAATTTTTTAAGAGAGCTTCCCGGATTGGATACTTGGCTTTATAACAGAGCCTTTGAACGTTGGAAGATGTGTCATCATCTGAAATTGTAGTAAGACCTATAAGGGTAATGGTTTTCAGGAGCCAATCAGCTTGCCACTCCTTTTTCACGGTTGTGCAAGCCTGGATTTGTTCTGCATGCTTCATAACTGCGGGTTGATATATTTCTTACTTTTATTACTAGATTTTTTTTTCTTGGTGCAATTTTAAATGGCATTGTTTTCTTATTTTCTCTTTGTGGAAGTTTGTCATCACTATACAGAAATGCAACAAGTTGGGACACCTGGTGGCTTAGTCAGTTTAAGCGTCTGTCTTTGGCTCAGGTCACAATCCCAGGACCCTGGCATCGAGACCCTCATTGGGCTCCCTCCTCAGTGGGGTGTTGGCTTCTCCGTCCCCTTCTGCTGCTCACCCTGCTTGTGCTGTTTCTCTCTCTCTCTGTCAAATAAATAAATAAAATCTTTAAAAAAAAAAGAAATGCAACAGGTCCCTGTATATTGACTTTTTATCCTGCAGCTTTAATGAATTTATTTATTCTAACTGTTTTTGCGTGGAATCTTTAGGGATTTCTATATATAGTATGTCATTTGCAAATAGTGACAGTTTTCCTGCTTGGATTTCATCTTTTCATTTCTTTCTTTTTCTTTCTTTCTTTCTTTCTTTCTTTCTTTCTTTCTTTCTTTCTTTCTTTCTT